AAGTTGTTCACCAAGGCTTAGAAATACCACGTTGGAAATTCTAAGAAAAAAGACAAGAAATAGATGCCTCATGCACCTTTGCAACCCAAAATGCAAGGAACTCGTGAAGGCAATTCACCCCGACCCCCCTGCTGCAGACCTCCTACCTCACACCCCAAACACAGCCCGGCTTCCCCCAGCCCACATTTGCAGAATGGGCCACTGCTGCTCCCAAAGGCTTTTTTCCCCCTGTTGCAACAGGGAAAAAACAGGCAGCCTAAAGACAAATGCAGGAAGGGTATGCATTCAAAGTGACAGATTAAAGGTGGCAGCTCGACAGACACACGAGGAACTGGATTCAGTAATTTTAGCTCCATATGGTACAAAAGTGGCTGCTGCTCTTTGGATTTCTCATTTGTTTCTGGCACAACTGTGATGATATCGCACTCGCTTCACTTTTAAAAGCATCTGGTGACACCAGCAGAAACTGGAACGAGACGAAACCAACACGAGCAGAAGGAGAAGGTATGAGCTGCTTCTACAAAAAAACTCTATGGACTCACTTTAAACCCTCGGAACCCCAAAGTAGGTTAAACCCAGCACAGAACTGGAAGAAGCCAGACAAGCATTTCAAAACAATTCTAAAACATAGGAAGAGATACAGCCTGTTGGAGCCACAAACAGTGGACAAGAGGAGGAAAAGTGAATGCTTGTTGTTTAATTCACAGATATCTCAGTAGGTGTTTAACTAGCAAAGATAAATATTTTTTAAATTGCCATAGAAATGGGGAAGTGAACACACTCTGCAGCACAATCCAAAGCGAATTAATTGAGGCTCTAGGAGAACATGTGCAGCTCCCAAAATAGCAAGCTCCTGAAGGCAAGAACCGCATTTTTACATCTTGCACAATCCCAAGTTTCCAGCCGCAGTTTTCGACACATCCATGTCACCCTGCTCTTCTTTTATCTAAGGCATAAGCAAGTTTGAAAGGGATTTTGACTTGAATTTCAAAGCACGACAGGAAGCAGGAGATATCTGAGTAGCACGCAGTCCTCATGTCAAGAACACACCCTGAAAAGGGCTCGCATCCAGAGCAACACTCACCCAGCACATCACCAGATCCTCTTCTCAAAGGCTTTTACCAGGGCTTGGACCAAACCTGCTGGCTCTGATGTCTCCCACAAGCAGCTATGCCTCAACCTACACCTCGATTCAAAGCAAAGGGCTTCTGGTTTATCTGTGCTCAACCTTCTAAACGTGTAAGGGCAAAGCCTGAATCGATGTTGTACAATAAAGCCTAAATACACAGGGAAAAGAACTTCCCTCGGATGCACAGCTCTGTTTACACAGAAAGTGGGAACCCTTTTCCAGACATGCTCAGTCACATCCTGTGGAAATGGCTCAAGTTGGCAGCAAGGAGAGCAGGCTGAGCTGCAGCCCCACAGCCCTTGGAAGCCCTGAAAATGTGCATTTAAAAATCAGTCGTGTGCTGGGAAAGCACAGGGAACCGAGCAGCCCTGTCTCCACATGAAGCATTCTCAGGTTTCTCCAGCAGCCAAGTGGAGAAAATTGAAGCCCCAGTGACTACAGGCTCAAGTGAGCTCTGTTTTCAAGTTCCACGTGCTGCTGTAGATGAGAATAAAGCAACACATGCAAAGAAGTGCAATAACACAACTGTGCTGTATGCTGCTTTTCACTCCCAAGCTCTTCACGAAGAATTTCACTTGCCACTGTGGAAAAACTGCTGCTTGGGTGGAGCCACCTATCAGATAACTATCAGGTGACACAAGAAGAAAAACATACAGACATCTTTGCTATGCAAAATCACCCAGGATTTGTTCAGGCTACCTGCACTGGAGAAATTCAAGGAGATTTCCCCAGGGAACACAGCCTAAGGGAAAGCAGCAGCATTTTCCCCCTGCTCCAGCACGAGAGTAAGGAAAAGGAAGAAGAAAGGAGCACTAAGGAATAAGGAAAAGGGAGAATAGCTGTAAAGTTGGGAGAGACTCACTGCTAACACCTGGCTCAGGGGTTTGGTTCTCCAGAAGGGCAAATTCCCTGAGCCCAGGCTGGAACTGCTTGGCATGTTTGTGAGGACACTGCAGCATCATCAGCAGTCCAGGGCTTTGCAAGGCCACCTGCAATGCAATGTATTGATCCAGGCTCCAGGATGCCAGTGATGACTGGAGGTGGCTGCTCTGTCATTACACTCGGGTTCCAAATTTAGGTCAGCAGCATCTCAGATGTAATGCGTTTTAAGCAGATTCACAGCCCTGTAGTATAAAGGGGAAGAATTCTACCAAGATCAAAGCTATGTGTCCACACACATAGTTACAACTGCCAAAGCTCTTCCAGCTGTAGCATAAGTCTCACTACCAATAATTAAATCCATTTGAATACAAATGACAGCCCCAGCACTCAGTGGGTTATCTTACAAACACAAAACAGCCCTAGCTTACACCATACTACAGATGCATTTCAGCTGAACAAGGCTTCCCCGACTTCTCTTTTGTTCTGCCTCTCAACACGAATTAAGTTTGGCTTACAGCTTCTACAAATGCAAAGCCTGAGCTCCGAAACCTGGAGCAGGGCCCTTCCCTCGTAGGGACACAGCGACCGAGAATAGTCTTTGCAACACCAGGAGGAGATCAGTAGCGAGACAATGGGGAGCCACACGGAGCTGAAGCTGCCTCCATGGAAGGAACTCGGAGCACAACACAAACAAGCCACGAAGCGAGGTGTGAGCTGCCCAACATAGGAATTCACGGTTATTTACTGCTCTGGGAGCCCGGCTGAGGCTCACCTTTGTGTTGGCACCGATAAAGCTCAGTGCCCTCGGGGGACAGGGGACAACACAGCACAGCTCAGCATCACCCGACCGTCATTTTGGGGAGGGGAGAAGCCGGGCTGCGGATCCTCAAAGGAGCCCCGCAATCAACGAGGGGCTGAGGATGGAGACCTCAACACAGCGACGACACCCAAAGAAATGGAGGCTCTGCCCTAGTTACCCCTCCCTAAATAAAGGGACGCCGACCGGGCCGGACTCGGCCCACACAGGACCCTCACGGAGAGGTCGGCCCCACACGGGGTCCTCACGCTCGACCACCGCCCCCCGCAGGGCCCGGCCCGCCTCAAGGGGCCGCTCCCCGAGGAGGAGCCGCTCCCGCCCTGCCGTCGCTGCTCACCTGCTGGGCCGGGCCTGGGCCGGGCCGGGCCGAGCCGAGCCCTCACGGCAGCCGGTGCCAGAGCCGCCGCGTCGCCCCGGTGACGGCTCGCACCGGCGCCGCCATCTTCCCTCAGCGCCGCGGCAGCCGCCGCTCTGGCCGCGGCGGAGAGGATACTGCGCATGCGCCACCCGGCCCTGTCTCACGTGATCACGGAATAAGGAGGAGCAAATAATCATGTGGGGGCTTGGTGCCATCTTGGGAAGGTTAAACCGTACGGCACTGAGGTTTCTGTGGTGGGAGCGGGTTGCCATGTTGAACGTGTTTCAAGGGAAGGCGTGAGCCGTCTCGCCGCCATGTTGGGAGAGGAGGGCAGTTGTGAGGAAAAAGTGGAAGGCTGTTTCTTGGGCTGTGGCTCTGTGCAAGGCCTGTCAGAGCACCAGCTGCTGGAGAACACAGCTTCAGTTTCCCTTTGGAAAAAGCCAGAGGATGGGCAAGAACAGCCTGACGATGCAACCTTTCCTCCCATCCTTATGCAGCTCCACATCTCCTGTCTGACCCACAGGGTTGTCCCGACCCAGGCTTTCAGGTTTCAGCCAAAAGAGCAGAGATTTGAGGATGAGGACATCAGTAGAGCTGCCGCGGGGCCATATGTGCTACTCTTGCTTCTTCGGATAGCATCCCTCAGCAAAACTGCTGAGAGGATTCCAAGTGTGCCCTTCTCTGCCTTCAAGATGCCAGAGGAAAGGAAGGCTGCTATGGGGCAGGAGCCAGGGCTCACCACAGTCTATGTATTTCTCTTCTTGAAGTTTGTAGGAAGATACCTGGTATCTGCTAGCAAGCCACAGCTCATAGATGGGGTGCCTATCTGATGCGTTGAGGAAGTTTACAGGATTAAGGTAGAAAGGAAAGCTGCTCTAATACACTGAGCCTTGCTATTTTAGAGTGCTGGAAGAGGCACTGAAGTCTGTAGTGTGTGGATCTATGCTCTGCAGAGCTGATCCCTGTACGTTTGTGTCTTTCAAAGCCGGGAGTGGTGTGTGAGCATGTGAATGTTGGGACAAACAGCTCAGCTTTGAAGGAAGCCTCATCAATTCAAGATGAATATTAGGAAAAAATTATTCACAGAAAGAGCAGTGATGCGTTGGAATAGGCTGCCCAGGAAGGTGTTGAGTCATCTTCCTTAGAGGTGTTCAAGGAATGCGGAGATGTGGCACTGAAGGATGTGATTTGGTGGGCATGGTAGGGATGGCTTGATGGTTGGACTTGGTTATATTAGAGGTCTTAATGATTTGATGATTCTAGTGAGTCTTTAGTGAGAACTGAAGGCTTTGTGTTGAAGCTATCCCTCCTGCTGATCAGGATGATGCAAGCACTGAGAGAGTTGAGATGTAAAGTGAGATTAGTAAGGATGACAGAATGACACAGAGGCCCTTCAATGAGTTTCTTCAGCACCCAAACAAACCCCAATCACAGCTACCCTCCGGCCAGGGGCTTTGCCAGGCTTTGAAAGTGCTGTGATTGGAGCAGCCACAACCCCTCTGCTGGACTGAGTGCAGGCGTTGCAGTGAGAGGTAAACCCTGCTAAAACTTGGATTCATGCTCCGCCCAGAGGGTGACGCGTGTGTTATACATGTCCTTCTCCCTACCGCCGGTCCTCCCGCCGCTAGGAGGGGCCAGCGCGCCGCCCTCCCCGCCGCATGCCCTCCCCGCCGCACGTGGCTTCCCGCAGCTGGCCACCGCGCATGCGCACTGCCTCACCGTCCCCGAGGTCGCCCGCTCCCTCTCAGCGCGCAGGCGCAGCAGGCGCGCCGTGATTGGCAGAGGCTGTATCCGCGCAGGCGCACGGAGGAAGGGGGCGGGGCGCGCATGCGCTGGTCCTGGGCTGGCGGCGGCGGCGGCGGAGGGGAATTAAAATGGAAGATGAGGAGGTGGCCGAGAGCTGGGAGGAGGCGGCCGACAGCGGGGTGAGGACGGCTCCCGGTCGGCCGAGGCGGAAGAGGGGGCGTAGAGGGAGGAGTGGGGAATGGCGCGGCGGCTCCTGAGGTGGCGGCTGGCTGGGAGAGGCCGGTAGGCCTCTTAAAGGGGCCGCGGCCTGTACGGCGCGGGGCTGTGGCAGGGCTGTGGAGCCGTGCACGGTTCGCACCGCAGCATCTGAGCCCTGCTTCGCCTCGGGCCTGGCCCAGCGTACTGCCTCAGCTCTTCTGGGGCTGTTGGTACGGCCCTGATCGCGGTGAGGAGCTCGGGGCTCTTCCTGGGCAGCCCTCTGCCTCCGTTAGGCCGCCTCATGGCTTGTGGTTGGGTCGTGTCGTGCTGAGAGGCTGCAGATGGGTTCTGCACGCTTCCCTCGTGTAATAAAATCAGTAAATTTAATAGCATGGACAAGTGGTGTGTGGGGGGTTCGTTACTCCGTAGCCTGAGAAAGAGGATTGCATCTGCTGATTGAGAGCTGCTGTTTGTAGGGAGTTCTGTGGGCTCGTTGACGCTCAGAGGGTAGAAGAACGCTGTAACAATTGGCTCTGCAGCAAGAGGGCAGCTTGGGTTTGGTCAGCGGCTGCTGCAGGAATTGGGTTACAGGTGGGGAGCGGGGTGGGGGCAAAATAGAAGCTGTAATCCAATGCCCTCATCTCTGCGAGGTGCCAGGAAGGGCTGGCGCTGCTACTAGCACCGTGATCCTGTGATAATGGGAAACCTCGCATAGGATAGAGGAGTTAATTTAAGGGCTCATTAAATTGCTTCATGAAGAGACATCGCTTGTGGCTGGGAGCTGATAATAGCTAAGGCCTAGAGTAATGGTTTAAAATTGCAGGGCTGCTCAAATCCCAGGCACCAGTTGTCTGTCTTGTTTGTCTTCACAGCTTGTACCTTTCGGTGTTCTTTCAAAACCCTTAGAAGGGAAATCTCATCGCCTGTCCTTTCTGACGCCCCTTTCCAGCAAGTCCAGGCTGCAGAGACATTACACTTGTGCCACACAGTGGGGAGCAGACATTTCTCTAGGAGCTGACATCACGCTTGCAGCTGCTTTTGCAGTTGTCCGGGCTTTGGGTGCCTGTAAAAGCACTCGGAGCAAGGAGAAAACTGAGCTGTCTCCAGCAGGAGTTATTATTGTGCAAGAGAAGACATGGAAGCTGTCTTCTAGCAGCCAAGATATTTTAGAAAGGTCATGCTGCAGCCTGCAGGAAGGAGGATCTCTGCCACTGCTGATGGCTGCAGGAAGTCAAAGCTGGGATGGACCTGTGGGGACATGGACTTGCTCTCTTCTGGCTTTCTGCTTGAAGCAAGTGGGTGCTGCTGGGGGCTCTCTGAGTCACTACAGCAATTATTGCTGCCAGGGGTAGATTCTGAAAAGGGGAACAGTGCAGGAAGGGGAGCAGACAGCGTGACTGACGTCAGTTGTTAGCAGTTGAAATATATTTGAGGCACACCTGCTTTTCTTGGTGACAAATTTGCTGCGGTGAGCAGGCTTGAGATCTGCTGCTTTAGTGGGGTGGATTTTCTATTGAAAGTATGAGTGAAAAAAACTGTGTGCAGGGGGAGCTTAGAAGTTGGTTTGCCACCGTAATCATTATGTTGTTTTTGTCGTGAGGCATTTGCTTTGGTTTCTTTCACCTATATCTTACCTGGCATGGGTCTGGAACATAGCCTAACTTAGAGATATGATAGCCATGGTCCAGAGGGATATGCAGTAAAACATTAAAGATAAAACCTAGCATGCCAAGGAGCAGCTTTAACTATATTCTGAACTCTGTAAGCAGTTGTGAACCTGACCAGTTATTCTTCAGACCTTTCAGCACATATTCGAGGAAATAGGAGAAATGTAGCCAAGGGAGATCTGTGGTTCTGGGTTTGTAGTTTTCTGCTAAGTCACCTGAGGGTGTTCTATGGAGCAGAAAGGATGCTGAGATATTTAGTGCTCATTTTTTCCCTCTGTATGTGTGGCTCTTGGTGCTGGGCTCCTAAATCAGTAAGATTCTAGGTCTTGAAGAAGGTGCTTCTCAGCAAGAAGCAGTTTTGGGCTGAGCAGAGTTGCTATGGCTTTCCTAGTCATTATGGCAGCACATGTAGCTTTTGTGGATTTGGCTTTACAAACAGCACTGAGACCTTAATTCACCGAAGGGATGCTGGTGCCCTTTGAAAGGGGAAAAGCCAAAATACCTGAATGCAGCTTCTCTTTTGGACTTGATCAGTCAAAGCAGCTATAAGAAAGAGAGTTGATTTTATTTATTTTTCTTAATGCAGCTTCTGTTTGTCTTCTAGTTTTCTGTGTCATCAGAATGACCCAGTGCTTGCCAGCTCAAGGAGCAGCTCGTTTCTGTGTGCCACCCTGTGTGCCCATACATGAAGCAGAAACCTCTGCTCCAGTAGTTTCACCTACCCTGGGAGTTTTGCAGGCGTGGGGGATTTTACATCTGAGTTCTGTGCAGCTGATGCAGCAGAATTTTGTGAGGCCAGCAGATCTGGCTAACAAGGCTCTGTGTTGCACAACTGCCTGTGTACAGGTATTTGAAGAGCCTGAAACGGGGAGGTTTTGCTGTCAGTGAGTTACAAAGGGGGAACTGGTGTGTGAGTGAGCTGTCTGGGGTTGTCTAAGAGGCTGGTGGCAGGATCAAAGTGTGAGGCATCAAGGAGACAGCCTGGGTTGGTAAACATGAATAGGACTTCATGCATTGCTCATTTCTCTGTTGTGTGGCCTTCCCAGGAAGAAGGAAATCACAAAAGGGAGGTGTGTTTTTGAGCCTATTTACCCGGTTAAACCAATTGTTACACATCAGATGGGAAGCCATACTTCAAATTGGAGTGAAAAACCTGTACCCAGGGGTCACATTGAGCTGGAGGTGTGTGTGGGTAGGGGGATCATCTGCTGGTATTGCTGTGTTCCAGGAGGGTTTGATGCTTGCTGAGCTCCTTTCTGCCTTCTCTGTGCAAATGGTAGGTGGGAGCAGGCTGGGCTTCCTGCTTTGGATTTCACCCTTCAGCAGAGGCAGGTGAATCATTGGTTGCAAAGGCCTGCATCTGGGTTTTGGCTGGCATTTCTTCTGTTGCTAAATGCGATCAAAGTACACAGAAGTCAAAAGGGAAGTATTTTGGAGCATAATGCTGTGACCTCCGGGCCGTGTAGCCTGCTAACAGCTTGTGTGATTGGAGGACAAGTCAGCAGGGTTCTGACAGCTTTCCTTTCAGGGTAGGGCTGTGCTTTGGAGAAAAGCCCTGAGGATAACTGGTGTTTTCTGCTGTCAGGAAGCAGCGAGAGGGGGGACAGGCTCACTGTGAGTTCTGTGAATATTTACTGAATATTTGCCTTAGGTATTTGTAATTGTTTCAAACTCTTGAAACTAGGAAACAAGGCTTTCTGTTCCTGCTGCTCAGCGTTGCCCAAGCAGAGACTGATAAGAAAAGAGCTTCGTTGACTAGGAACAAACAAGCTGTGCGTGTCATAAAGCCAGCATCTGCAATGGGATGTTGCTGTGAGGCAGCATCACCTGGGAGCAGTCTCTGTTTGCTGCCAGTTTCAGCAGCACGACCTTGGTGAGCATCTGCCTGTGCCCCTGAACCACGAAGGTGGGGAGGGAGGAGAAACTGCAGCCCTCTTCAGTGCTTCCCCCTATGTTTGCCTGGCTGAGGATAGGACTCTGGCCAGGCTTGCTCCTAAAGATATTCCTGTGTTTTGTAGCTGCTGAGGAGCTTTACCTACCTATGGAAGATACAGGTGCCATGCAGCTGAAAGCAGCTGTGGCTTTCTTGGCATCACATTGGGTACGGTGCACTGCCAGGGTTACTGTAAGCAGAGCAACTTGGCAAATTAATTAATGAAGCAGTCTGACTCCCACTAGCCTCAGGAATTGGGAAGTTCTAGTAATTAACAGAAGATTTATATATCTTCAGAGGAAAGGAATGAGTCGCTAGCGAGGAGTCAGTTTGCTACCTGGGGATCATCTGTTGCTGCTCTCACTGGATGGTGTTTTCAGGGTACCTTGTGGTGCCTGTGCTCGGTGGATGAGGATGCAGCTCCAGGCTCATTCCCTCTTTCAGGGTTTGATCTCATGCTCTTGTTTTTTGGCAAGGTAGCAGGTTGTATTCAGACGTGTCCCCAGCAAATACATCAAAGAGCACAGTTAATGTTTTTCCAGAGCTGTGCATGTGAAATGTTAGCAGCTTTTGAAGAGAGCGCAGCTTCCTTTATCAGTGGCAGCTCTGAGCTCCAGTGTGGCCCTCTTGGTGAGTATCTCCTCTGTCAAGTAACTGCATTTTGGAGGCAGAGGGGAGAAATCCTGCTGCTGTAAGGGATTTTTAGGGAGCTGAAGTCTTTACCTGTGCTGAGGCATTGTTAAAGTTACTCAGCAAACCTGGAAGAAATAAATGCCAGCAGTTGCTTTGTTATTCCTTTCCCACCAGCTTGGAGTTGCTGCCTTTCAGAGGTCTGGAGATCTTTTGCAGAGGGGTAATTTACAAATATCTGACATGCCATCATTATTCCAACCAAGTACTTGAGGCAACTTGGGGTCAGGGCTAACTTGGGGTTCTCTGCTTGTGCCTCACTTCAAACTATGATTCTATGAGTCTGCCTCAGGAGCACTGAGTCTAAATAGGTTTGTTTGCAGTCCTCACCTAATTGCTTTCCAGGAGGCACAGTGATCCTCACATGCTTTGCTGTTTGTTGTTTTTTTCCTGGGCTGGAAATTTGGTTGTGATGGGACTGGAGCTCAGCTTCCATTACGTCCTCATCTACAAATGCAGTTTAAATGTCAGAACAGTGTCTTCTCCCTGCTGGCTGCTGGGTCCCTTTTAGCATCTAGACATAATAGCACTAAAAATAGTTTGTTGAGATTCCCTGCTAATCTTTGAGAAGGGTGTTTATAAAAGCACAGGGGCACGAATGTTGCTTAACTTTTGGTTATAAATATGCTTGTTTGGGGAATGAAAGCTGGGAGAAACTCCTTAATGCATTCTCACCATCAGAAGATTAATAACTGGCTTTGTACAGCGTGACCTGCCCAGCTTCTGTGCAGCTTGGTGTCCTTGAGTGCCGTGTGGGCTCCCCCCTCCTCTGCATGCATGCCTTTTGCTTGTTGTAGTGCTTCTGGCACTTGGGCCATAAGTCAGGTCCTAATTTTATCTTGTTATCCACAGCTCGATGGCAATGCAACATGAGATAGAGCAGTGCAAACAGAATGACATCAGCAAGCAAACAGATCTGCTGGTTTTGCTTCCTGAGCTTGTGGCTGTGTGCAGCGTGACCCCTGTTGTGAGCTGCCAACTGTGTCTCTTCCTAATGCCTTGGGTTGCTTTGGTGATCGAGGGCTGCCCATTTGAGTGGATAATGCTCTGCAAATTTGAACTCCTTCATACCTATAATATCATAGACTCATTATGGTTGGAAAAGACCTTTAAGATGAAGACAAGCTTGTCAGCCCATCACCACCGTGCCTACTGAAATATAGTTCTGTTAAGCATCAGGCGTTTGCAGTGATGTGGCTTTTGCTTAGGAAAAGACAGCATCCATCTCCTCATATTATGGCTGCCAGAGGAGCGAGGCAGCAGAAGTGCCAAGCACTTGGTAGTTGTAGGAAAGGGAAAATCTGGGTGAAGGACTCATTTAGGGTGTTCTGATGGTAGGTTTTGAAGGATTCCTTGGGATACCCTTGCCTATGCTAGGTAAATGAAAGCTGTGTTTCTTTCTAGATGAGGAAGCTGTAGGTTCTGGCAGCAGAGAATGCAGGCTGGACGTCCCTGGTGCATGAGAGGTTGAAGAGCTGCCCACCAGCACTCAACCACTGTGACAGCCACATTAATCAGAGTGTTTTTCAGGTGGTGGGGTTGAAATGACGCTTTGCAATGACAGGATCTGGCCATCCGAGGTAAAGAACGTGGCATTAACCCCAGGACTGACTCACAGAGCCTGCAGGAATGCAGAAGCATAGCTGGGAAGGGAAGAGAGGAGAACAGAACTGGATCTTCCTTATGGCTCTCTGTGCTGTGGGCAGAGTGTTGTACAGCCAGCATTGGGCTGAGGGTTGACGTGCTGGTTCTGATCTCTGTACTTGCTGCATGGCACTGGAAAAATCCTCCTCCTGGTATGAATGAGTGGAGATGCTTGGGGGTTTGCACCCTACAGCCCTCACCAACGTGGGAGGTATTTATGAAGGGGTATCTAAAGAAGCTTCATTCCAGACAGCCCTGGAGGGGTACAGCCATGTGTTCAGGTTTGAAAAAGCGTTCTATAGTAGGATGTAACCTCTTCTGGTGGAGGGTAGACAGATGAGCTAACCCCCTGGCCTTGGTTTGGCTGTCATTGTTTGTTGCTAGCTGCTCTAAATCACTTCCATCCTTGGCCAGGATATCCGCTTCCCTGCTGCCTTCCTGGCTGGCCGTTCCTCCATCCACGTGGGCAGGAGGCTCCATCCTCCTGAGCAACGTTGGAGTGGGATTTTCTGCTGAAATTTGAGCCTTCTTGAAAGGGAAGGAAGCTGCAGGTGTGTTTGCCCTCAGCAGGGGGATTCGTTGAGATTTGGCCTTCAGCTCAATGCTGTGTTTTATTCCTAGGAAACGAATGTGGCTTCCTCATATAGAGCTGGGAAGAAAATTCAACGTCTCACCCAACAAAATCTTTGAGAAACAACTCAGAACTGTGTATTTCCAGCTGGAGGCTGCCGAGGGCTGCATGACCATGAGTAGCACCACGCTTTGGTGGTGTGTCATGGCTTGCATTCATTCCTTGTTCACTGGGGAGTAACTGCAAAGAAGTGTAGGAGTGAGGATGTGGGGCAGTGCAGCTCCTCACCAGGCTGTGCATGCTTCTTGACAGCAGGGCAGGCTCTGCTGGCAGCAGGCTTGTGGTGTAGTTAAGCAAACTGACCTGAAAAGCAGAGTGACTGCATCCTGCCAGGAGCATGACCTTTCCTGCAGCATTACCAGTTATCAGATGGTAAAACTGGGACACTCCCAGCTACTTTTTTCTCCTCTTTACTGACAGTTAACTAAAACGCATTGCTGTTTTGGAAGCTCTTTTATGCAGTCTGCAGTCTTGGGGATCTAAAGGCCATGGTGAGGTGCATCTTGTTAGGATAGGTTACTTAGAGACCGGAGGGGCTGAGAGCTTTATTTTTCTGTTTAGCAAAGCTTCTTTGTGTAATTGCCCCAAGTGCAAAACGTAAACACCTTTTGTAAGACAGGTGCAAGCTTTCGACAGAGGTCAGCAAGCTTAAAGCCACACTGTTGGCTCTCAGGGTAATGAAGATTTCTTTCCATGTATTGATTGACTTGGCAGCTCTGTTGCAAAAGCAGACGAGAGGCATAGGAGGAAAAAGCATGGTTGGCTACTGCAGCTCGGTGAGTCTCTGGGTGCAGATTGGGCAGGGCAAGGATATTTTGGTGAAGGCAGGTTCTCAAAGCAAGCAGCAGGAATGCAGACCTGCTGGCTAGTCCTCAGAATGGCTGCAGGCTCCATGTCTGTGCTGCTGTGTCGTCCCAGCTGCTGCTTCCAGGGGTTCTTTGGCAGGGAGGTCTGGTGCCAGTGCCTGCTCCACCTGGGAGCGCCTTGCTGAATGTCTGTGGAGCTTTTTTTCTGCCCATAAGAGAGCTTTCTTACAGCTGAAGTTCTGAAAGTGAAAATTGCTCTCCAGGGGAGATGAACACCTCGCAGCTGCCCTTCCACCCTGCTCTGCAACTTCAGCCTGCTGTAGGTGTATTCATGGGTGCAGTGAATGAAGGGGCTTTGCTTTCCTCTGCAAGCCATCCTCAGGTTGAGAGGCGTTCTGTCTCTGCCTTTCACAGCGAGGCATTGCTGGAAACAAAGGTGTTTGCAGGCAGATTCTTACTCTGATCTCAAAGATGAGCCTTCACATTTTTGTTTTTTCTTCCTTCCTCTGTAGGAAATAGACAGACGATTGGAAAAGAAGCTGAAGATCACGCAGAAGGAAAGGTAACTGCTGTCAGTGTGGAAGTGGAATCTGTAGTGGTGCCACCAGGGGGCCCCTCCGGTCCGTAGCAGAGTAATGGAAAGGTTCTTAGGAGTGATTTTATTTCAGAGCTGGGTCTCCCAGGCTGGCTGTGGCTCCAGTTATGGTGAAGCCCTGTAAGAAAAAGGCACTCAGAGGAAGAAATGAGTGAGTCAGGTAATCGCAGCTTGTAGCCTCAATTGGCTCACCAGGTCTTGCATCAGTAAGGCTTAATTTTCCTGTTTGTTTGGGTTGGAGTGGGGGTGTCTTGCCTCCTAGCACAGGTACTTCTAATCACTTCTGAGGCATATTTTTGTTTGTTTCCTTTTGATTGCTGGCACACTGCTTAGAGTCACAGTATTGTTTCTCAAGGATTCCCATACCCACGCAGAAAAGGGTCAGTGAGAATTGAAACAGGCTGGGGCCAAGGTTGGCTCTAAGGCCTGGCAAGGAGTGGAATTAAAGTGCCTACACCAGTGCCTTTGAAGATGTGTAAACGCTTTGTTTTGGAAAATCTTTGGTGAATCAAATCAAAAGTCAAGTTATCTCTGCTCAGAGTCTCCTTTGGTTGAGTTTCAAGATGTTGAACGCATCAGAGGTTGGCGTTTTCTGCCCCTTGCTGAGCTAATCTGCAAACCTGCCTGCCTCTACTTTAGGGTTACAAATACAACAAGGTCTCTAATTGTTACAGCTGCCTCTTAGTCACAGGAATGACATTTGGCTGGGAGGAAGCCGCATACAGAATGAACAGCAAAGCGTGCTTGCGGTGAAAACCAGCGCTGATCGAATGCCCTGCGTTTGTTTGTTGCTTTTTTTTTTTTTTCTTCAAGCAGTAGAAAATCCAAATCTCCTCCTAAAGTGCCGATCGTGATTCAGGACGACAGCGTTCCTTCAGGTCCCCCCCCCCAGATCCGGATCCTGAAGCGGCCGGCCACCAACGGTGTGCTCAGCAACCCCAACTCCACCACCAGACCAGCGTTCCCTGTCAAGTCCCTGGCACAGAGGGAGGCAGAGTACGCCGAGGCCAGGAAACGAATACTGGGCAGCGCCAGCCCTGAGGAGGAGCAGGAGAAACCCATTCTAGATAGGTGAGAGCAGACTTGGCACCGAGGGCGGGAAAGTGACGTCTGTGTGCGTGCTCTGTGCAAATACCTTCCAAGCAGGGGAAAGAGGAGATGTGCTCCTTGGAGTATTAAACGAGGCCAGCCAAGGAGAAAGGAGCGTTTTGTTTGTAAACAGCAACTTACCGTTCAGGTTTTTGGCAGCTAGAGGAAGTGCTTGTGCCCGATAAGGCAATAAAGGTTATCTTAAATCCTTGAGAGAGCAATCTGGGGATATAGAGAGGAGTGCAAGCAACTTTGACACGACATAAAACCTCAGCAAAGACAAGGTAGGCTTGAAGGAGCTGCTGTCATCAATGGGAAAGTTGAAAGTAAGCACTCTGAAATGAGTCCAGGTTGTTTAAGGCCTTTCCTTTGTAGTTGTAGTGTGGGTCTTGGCCACTTGGGAACAAGACTTTGAAAACTTCAGGGAAGAAATGAAGCATCAGTTTATTTTTGATCGTGTTCCTTTATCCCAGGGAGAAATGCAGCAGGTCTGCAACAGTCGTCCTGCAGCTTTCCACCAAAGCAAGTAGAGGAGTATCTGAATTACACGCCTTACATTCCACAAATGCATTGCTTCGCCCTCTCCTTTCTCCTTGCAGGCCAACGAGGATCTCCCAGCCGGAGGACATCAGGCAGCCCAATAATGTGATTAGGCAGCCCCTGGGCCCCGATGGTTCACAAGGCTTCAAACAACGCAGATAAACGTGGGCATGAGAGGATGCTGCAGAAAGCAGGGTCAGCCGCCACGGCTCGCACTGCTGTGGCGGACAAATGGACTTGAGCAAAGGGAACTACCTGGTTTACTTGCACTGTGATCCCCTTTGCTCTGCCCACTGTGACCTCCAACCCCACGCACTGTGACCTCCCTGCTCCACGCACTGTGATCAGCAAACTGACGAGGGCTGTCCCCAGTCACTGTAAGCAGGAAGGGGAGGGGAGGGTAAAGGACTCGGACAGGTGCAAAGAGTCATGTGTGCCACTTTGGTTCAAGCTAGTGCCAGCAATAATGTTTGTTGTACTTGTAACCTGGGATTTAGGAAAAAAATGGGAAGCCTCCCCAGACACACATTTTGTCTTCATCACTTTAAGAGCAAGTTCTGTTTCAAAGGATATCTTTTGATTTTTTTTTTCCTTTTGTTTTCTGTTCGTATATCGGATTGACTTTCAAGGGAGTGCATGGAAAGGGTTTTAACTGTTTAGTTTGTTTTAACTGAGAGAGGTAGCTAAGTGTTTGAAAAGGAACTTCACTGAATTCCTGCAACTTTAGTGGTTAGGGTTTGACAAGCTTAGCTTCTCGTTCTGTGTTTCTACCACTGCCAAGCAAACTGGACTCTGGGTGCCCAGCCTTTCTGCTTGCCATGGCCTGGGAGCCAGTGGAGTCCAATGACCTGGTTTGTGTATTGCACCTGTTAAAGCTTGGCTAGTGTTTTCTGCTGGCTTGAGGGGAAGAAAAAAACTTTAAATACATCTTTTTGTATGTGGGGAGAAGGGAATGTAGACAGATCCCATGAAAATGCCTGCTGTTTGGTTACTGCTTGCAGCAGAGCTCATCTGCAGGGAGCTAGGGCTCTGTGACACCTGGACGTGCAGGCTAGGAGGGTAATAGTGCTGCGTGGCTCTCATCTGCTCCATGAAATGAACCCATGGTGAAGAGCTGCGTTCCGTCCAGCCTGCGTGGTGGCTGATGTGACGGCGGGGAGCGGGACGGCCGCTGCTCCCAAGGTTGAAACCGAAGTGGCTTACAATGGACTGAAGACTCTGATCTCTGTTACGGTACGAGCCGGTGCTGTACCTGATACACACGCTTCTAGAAATCACAGACATTTAGGAACAAAATGTGTTCAATCAAGTCTGGAAACCTCCCCATCGTCGTACGCTGTGGGTGGTAACGGCCAGCTTTCCGCTGGGCTTCAGGGAATGGATTGCTCTTGCTGCTCCTGCTCCCACGAAGAGGCAGGATTTCAGGCAGCTTGTAGGCTGAAAGCTTCCCAGGATGGCGGCGGTGGTGGAGAAGAGCCATGAGGAGCTGGTGTGTGTCACAGGATGCTATTGAACGTGGATGCTTCCCCCGTGCGCAGTGCTGTCTGTCCTAATGCACGCTAGACAAAGCTGGCCTATCTTGATATTCCTGTCTCCAGGGATTAGATGAACACTAAGGCTCTTCTTGGAGGGGATGTAACGGGCGACGTCAGGCGTGGAGGCGTTTCTGCGTGTCGTGAGGACCTCGACTGTTCATTCAGCTGAAATGGCCGCGGGCCGGCGGATTGCTGCGTGCTCAGTACCTAGAAAATACTGTTGTTGGCTGTCAGAGGATTATTCTGTACGGGTGCAGTGTTGCCAGATGCTTTGTGCTTGGCAGATATGGTAAATGAGCAAACCTGATGCCTTCTGACTGAACAGAAGTGACTGTGCCATGCCATGTTGTATGGGGAAACTCCCATCTGGAAAGACGTGGAAGGAAACACGGCTTAAAAAAAGGTAAAATAAAACTACCTGTGTACAAAAAAGAGATGGCATCTGCTAGAATGTCAGTTGGCTCCTTGACCCTGTGTCACCCTCCACGTGAGTTCCCGGAACCCTGAGTGACTGGCGAAGGAGGGTGACGAGGTGGGAATGGCAGAAGCCTCGTCCCACCGGGATCCCAACCCATCTCCGTGGCTTTAGAAGCTATAACCTTGCTGCTTACTGAGCTCCCTCTCAGGCTGGAGGCGCGTCTGTGAAACTGATTTATTTGGGGTGGGTGGGAGCAGGAGGGGAGAAGGACATTAGCAATAACTGTAGTCACCGCACCTTTCCTTAACGACCGCTCGATAGCTTCTATTCCAGAAGGCTGGCAGCTGGCACAACAACCCCGACCCCAGCTCCTGGCGTAGCTTCCCGCTACCTTGCCAATGTTAGATGTCTCCTCCCGTCCGTCAGGTGCCTACCACCCTTCTCCTTGCACACCCGACCTTGTTCTCCAGCACTGACCGTGCGCCGATGCCTCAGCCGTGGCGGCTGCTCCCGACCTGCAGGCAGGGCGAGACGGCGGTCCCTGGGCACGCGCCTTCTTTCGTGGGGCCGAGAGCTTCTCCCGCCGCCCCGTCAGAGCGCGCCCGAGTATGCAGAGAAACATTTTATAAATTGTATTTTCAATAAATGTGTTTAAACTTTTTCACGGCCTGCTTCCGTCTCGTCGCTTTGCTGCATCCCTTTTTTTTTTCTCCCATTCCCCGCAATGGGAACCCCAAAAATCCATCGGCTGTTGTTGGCCATGGTAAGCGTTTGTGGCACCTTGTGGGACAGCTGGCGTGGTTCTGAGGTGTTATGGATGAGGACATCTGTCCTGTTTGGGCTACAAGGGCTCTTGGGAAGGAGAAGCTGAACTTCCAAGCGCAGGGATGGGAACAGGAGAATTTTGGGGCTGGGCTGCTCTCCATTCTTTGCTCAGTAGCGTGAGGAGAGGCTGTGGGGCTGGCTGAGCCGAGGAGGAGCAGGATGGAGTCCTTTCTCAATGTTTTTATTTTAAGGCGATTTAGGGAAAAACGTGCCTTCAGAGCGCGTCCCCCTGCCTGCAATGCACCTCCCGACCGGCAGGGGGCGCAGTTGCGAAGCGTGATGCTCAGCCCGCACCGGAAGTGCTTCCCTTCCTCCTCTCCCCGCCCCGAGGCGGGCGGTACCATAGAGTCGCCGGCGCCCTTCCGTCGTGCTGGCGGCCATGGAGGAGGACTACGAGGCGGTGCTGTGCGTGAAGCCGGCCGTGCACGTCTACCGAGTGCCGCCGAGGGCCTCCAACCGCGGCTACAGGTGCGGTGCGGCGCCGGGGGGTGGGCCTGGTGCGGCCTTGGGGCTCTCGCAGGCAGCCAGGCCCCGCCGTTGGGCTGCAGGCCACTCAGCCCCGCTGCGAGGGGAAGTTGAGGGTTGTTGTGCCTGGAAAAGAACGATAGAATCGCTGAGGTTGGAAAAGGCCTCCGAGATCATCGAGTCCCAGCGGCCGGGAAGGCTGCGGGAGGGCTTATAACGGCCTTTCGGTGCCTGCAGGGCTGAGAGGGAAGCCAGGAAGGGCTCTTGGACAGGGTTTGGTAGTGACAGGACGAGGGGAAATGAAGTAGGGAGAAATTCTTCACCCTGAAGCGATGATGCCCTGGCATAGGCTGCCTTGGGAGCTGTGGATGCCCCTTTTTGGATGTATTCCTGGCCAGGCCGGAAGGGTCTTGGGCAGTATGAGCTGCTGGATGGTGTCCCCAAGATGGGAGATTTCCAACCCAAACCACTCTATAATTCTTTGAAAACGGAGATATTCCACAAGGATCCCCTCACCAGTGTGGCTTGCGTTGCCCTAACGCTGTTTTCAAGCTGGTGATTCCGCAGAAGGGGAAGTGAAACCTTTCTGTACTGTGCAGTGCAGAACTATGGGTCTGGCCCCCAATGCTTCTGCAAGTGGTCAGCAGATTTGGGGCGAGTTGCGAGGTCTCGTGATGTGTGCTGCCTGTCTGCAGCAAGCCCAGGTGCAAGCAGGTTCCCTCACATGCTATCTTACTTTGTGAGGCTTTGTGATACGTTACCATGCCATAAAATTGTCTCATTGCTGCTGCCTGAGGACCGCAGGGGCACCCAGAGGTCGGTCACCTTTTCCTCTCCCTGCAGAGCTGCGGAGTGGCAGCTTGACCAGCCAGCATGGAGCGGCAGGCTGCGCATCACCGCCAAGGGCAAGACTGCCTTCATCAAGCTGGAGGACAAAACCTCAGGTGAGGAGGAGGGGCTGCAGCAGAACGGCTTTCCTGTCACCCCAGGGGGCATTGGGCTGCTGGCGGGGCAGACCTGAGCATGGTGTCACTGCAAAGCAGCTGTGTGTTGTTTTTTGAATCCATCTGCTGAGCGTTAATGAGCTGGTTTGTCACCTCCAGAGTGTGGTGCCATGTAGCACCAGATAGTGGGAGGCTCCTTTGTTGAGCACTGGTAACTGAGCCAGGAAAAGCGTTCGTGCCTATGGCTGGGGAAGCTTTATCTGGTGGAATGAAATGATGTGGATCTGCCAAAATAAGGCAAGCAGGATCTTATCTCTCTTCCTCCAAGCTTCCTGTCATCACAACAAGTCACTTGGCCAGTTTTTCCATCTCCTGGATTCTTAATTGCCTCCCAAGCTGCTGCTGCAGAGGAAGCGGGTCGTGTTTACCCATTTCTTGCATGCAGGCTGCTGCCTTTATGTTCATCCTCACAGCAAGGAGAGTGGCATTGATGTGCTGCACTGGCACGTTAACTCACAGCTGCTTCTCTTTTTTCAGGAGAGCTTTTTGCCCAGGCCCCCGTGGAGCAGTTCCCTGGCATTGCTGTGGAGAGTGTGACAGACTCCAGCAGATACTTCGTCATCCGGATCGAGGATGGCAACGGTGTGGTGCTGCTTTGGTGCTGGCAGACACAGGCCTGGGGGGGAGCAGATCTTGAAAACACTCAGAGCTTGTTCTGAGTTCTTACTGGTGAATGATTCGTGTGGTTGAGAGCTAAATAGTCCCTGCCTGCAGTGATGAATGGACAGATCACCTCTTCATGCTCTGCCTTTTGCTAGTAAAAAAAAAAAAGCTAAAGTAGGACTGTCACTGTGATGCCAGCCTCCGTGTTGATTCACTTATATGAATTTGAAAGCTGGGTTTTGCTAGTTCTTTAAATCCAATCAAGCTGAAGTGATGATGTAAACACAGCTTTGCTGACTGAAAGCGTGGCTGCTGTTTTCTTCCAGCCTCACGTTACAGCCCTGCTGACAGTGTAACACTGCTTTCCCTGCTTGGAACTTGCTGGCTGTTCCTTTCTTTGTAGAAGGAAGAAAGAAGTGCAGCTCCAATCCACACCTCAGCCCTGCTGTCATCAGAATTCCTCTCAGCTCCAGCTGGAGGAGCTGACAGTCGCAGGGCTGTGAAATTGGCTGTCCCCCCACTTCTGGGCTGCATCCCTGGCTTTTACCCTGTTTTGCATTTCTAGCCTTTACTCTTCCTCATTCCCCAGGCCGCCGTGCTTTCATTGGAGTTGGATTTGTGGATCGAGGGGATGCTTTTGACTTCAACGTCGCTCTCCAGGACCATTTCAAGTGAGTTGCTGCCTCTCCTTTTGTCCTCTTGACTTGCTGGTTCCACGTGGCGGCTGCAGGTGTTCGCTCCAAGTGCTGGGGGTGAGGGAGCTGTTTGCTCCTGGTTCCCTGTGCCCAGTTCATTTGAATTGAAGCGTAGTGCAAAGAGGGCTGCAGCTTACGAGTCTTTTTCTTTCTTCCTGCCTTCCTGCAGGTGGGTGAGGCAACAGAACGAGCTGGCCAAGCAGGCTGAAAACCCTGACCAGGCACCCAAACTGGACCTGGGCTTCAAGGAGGGGCAGACCATCAAGCTTAACATCGCGGTGAGGTTTTTTGCTGCTCCAGATGTTTCCCCTTGTACACTTTATAACGTATAAAAACGCTGCCCTGTGGCTTTGGTGATTGTCCTGAAAGACTGAAAGAGAAACAGCACCAAAACCCTTCCTTTTTTTTTTTCTTTTTTTTGCAGCGTTTTGGGAAATGAAAGCATCAAGAATGTTCTGTTAGCCTCTTTTGTCAGCCTCATTTCTTGTTAGCTGTGAAACACTGCTTCTGAGAGATGCAGACTCCAGCCAAGCTGTCTGCCTTCACGCTCAGCCCTCACAATCTGTTTTTCCCCTCTGCTGTGGTTCGTGGCATAAGAGGAAGCGGTGGCTTTCTCATGAAATCCCCTTGCTAAAGGAAGCCTGGTGCAGTGCTGTTCATGCCCTTGCTGCCTGCAATGATTTGTAGCGGGGTGTCTTATGGTTCCCAGTCACAGAACCTGGTCTGTGGCTACGTGGTGGGGATTCACAGATGAAAACATCTGTGCTTCAACACCTGTTGCTGCACCAGGAGAACGTAGCACAGCGATCTTTTTCCCCCAGAACAAAGCATCTGAGCTGCTGGGCTACTTGAAAGCATTGGTTGGGAGGAAGAAGTAGAATCACGCTCTGGTTCTGGATTTAAACGTGGTTCCACCTGAAGTTTCCCTCTCTTGTCTCCTTTCAGAATATGAAGAAAAAGGAAGGAGCAGCAGGGAACACCAGACCACGTTCTGCAGGCCCTGGGGGGCTGAGCTTGCTCCCACCACCTCCAGGAGGAAAATCTTCCGTGCCAACTCTTCCTTCTGGGGAGCAGCCACCATCTTCACTTCCCCCACCTACCCGGCTCCCTGGTACCCCCATCACAGGTCTGTGTCTTACAGAAATGGCTGCAGGGCTCTTTAGATTCAGTTTGAACTGTTGAGATGCACATAGAAAGACCTTGACGTTCCTCTTGAGCTGCAGGAGGAGAAGGTGCTGAAGCCCTGTTGGATGAGGGGAACTGAGGCACTGAGGGGAATGGGATCACAAAGCCATCCTGCTTGTCTTAATGTCCCCTAACTGTTCAGAGCTACTCTGTGTTTCATGATTGTTTGGGAAGCACACATATTTTGCAAGCTGAAAGCACAGCATGTTTAGAAAGTCCCTGCATGAATCCTGGCCCTCCTACCTGGCCTGTGACCATCTGTGTGCAGCACTGCAAAGTTCATCTTAAACCCCAGTCAGGTTGGAACGGTGAACTGACTGCATTCGAGCAGTGGGTGTGTGGAAAAGCAAAATAGCATCTTCTTGAATGCAGAGAATCTGGGAGGAATCATTGTCAGTAACAGTTTTCCTTTTTCTCCTCTCTCTCTGGCTCCTCTGGCTGCTGCAGACTCCCTGCTGTCCTGGCCACAGCCCGCTGCTGCTCCCTCTGCCCCTGCCACCGACGTTTGGGGTGACTTCACCAAAGCTTCAGGGTGAGGCCACGTGGGGTTTGCAGGTTGCTTGGGCCAATGCCTGCAGCGTTAGAACCCAATCCTGCTGGTTTTACTCTCACTAAAATAAGATTTTGAAAGGTGAGAAGCTGCTGTGCCTGGCCGTGTGTGGGGGGGAGTTATGGATTGGCACCAGGCGACCTGTGCTGCCGCTCCTTTTAGTGTCTGATCCCTCCTTTGTTAATGTCTAAACCCTCTTTTCTCTGTGTCCAAACTCTCTTTTTCTCTCTCTTTCTCTCTTCAGGTCAGATTCTAACCAGGCACAGGCAAATGCAGGCTGGGTGCAGTTCTGAGCCAGCTCCTCACAGGCACTGGAGGAAGATTGTGCCAATTTCTGCAGGACCAAAGCAGCAGTGGGAAGTGCTCCTGCTGCTTAAGGACGCCTCACTCGTCACTTATGGTGGCATTGTACCCCCCTGGCCCCCTCTGACAAGAAACAAGACCCCAAAATCTGATGCTGGAGTAGAAAAGCAGAAATTGGTGCTGGTTGACCAATGAACACGTGCCTTACCAAATTCCACGCCAGCACCCTCAGAGCTGGGGGCCTTTTCTGGGTATTTTGTGCCTGGATCACTGCAAACCGTCGAGGCTTCAGTGACCTTTCTTGTGTCTTCTTTCCTTCCTTTCTTACTGCACTAGCAGGGCTGCAAAAATGTGGCAGCTTCATGGCACCCCATGTCCCCTTGGTGACGTGAGAGTGCTCAGGGCACTGATAGAGGACTCAGCTGGCAGCTCTTTTGCTGCCCAATTTGGGCATTTTTCTCTCAATTCTGATGCAATAGAGGTGGGTTGAGGTGTGCAGCACAGAGCTGCCCCTGGCACCATCTCCACTTTCTCCTCATGCATTTGGGCCACTGAAACCTTTCAGTCTGGCAGACGGGGGGGAGCATCCTCCTGGAGACTTCTTGTGTGCAAGGCCTTGTTTTGTCTGCTGCTGACAATGTGCTTCCAAGGTGCTGAGCATCACCCCTGATATTTCCAGCACTCCCTGCAGTGTGGGGGGTGGGGAACACGACTGCTGTGTGCAGCTAAATGTGAGCACAGTGCTGGAGTTCCTGTTTTCCTGCTCCAGTAAGGTTGGTTTTTGGTGTTTTTTTTCCCCCTCTATTTCCAAGAGAGATTTGTATTCGTTTTGCAGAGACTTTATTATTGGAATATATGCAATGAAAGACAAACTTGGTCTCTTGAACCGAGCTGGGGTTGAGATTCCTCTTTGAAAAAGCTCCCAAGTATTTTCTTACCTATTTATATTATGGTGAAGGCCTTTCACAGTACAGAGTTGTGCTATTTTTTCAGTGTTTCAGACTCAATTATTATTTCCATTCTCAACTGGACGGGTGAGCATTTCCATTGCAGAGCTTTCGCTTTGCCCTGGCAGCTCGCAGGGCCGGGTGAGAGATGCCACACTTCCAAGGGAACAATAAAATCATTTTGATGCCAGGTGTGACGTTTTGCAACCCTGAGATCAGCCCCTGTGTGCTCAGGGTGGGACCGTGGGGCTTCCTTCGAGGTGGGGATTTGATGTCGGGGTGGTTTTGTGCTTTCCCTCCTTCTTGGTGCTGGGGAAACAGCGAGGCACAACACATGGCTGTTGCTTAGCAGTGGCTTTGAAGCCCTGTGGGCAAAGGAGGTAAGGAATCAGGAAAGTAAACGGGACAGCTGAGGACTTGTGGCCCCAAAGCCCATCAGGGAGCCTCGGCGTGGCTCTGGGGTGAACATCTTCATAAGCCAGGCTGTCCCAGCAGCGCTGCAAAGCCTCAATCCTAATATCCTCCAATAATCCGCGGCTCAGCTGGGAGGAGAAAAGGCATTTGCTCTTCCTGAGGGGCAAGCAGAGGCTGGGCAACGCTGGGAGGGCAAACCCGCATCCGACGGTCCGCAGAGGGAACGCCTTCAGTGCGGTGTTGCCCCGCAGCCCCTGCTGAGGATGCACGTTTGGAGCTGGCATCGATTTGTTGGCGCGTTTCTCCTTTCTGCCCTCGGGGGGAGCAGGAAGCGGCAGCTCGCCGTTACCCCGCACTTCAATTCATTGATCGCCCGGGGTCTTTCTTTTCCACGTGGCAGTGAACTGCATGATTTATGGAGCGGCTGCCGCCCCTTCCCAGCGCCCAGCCAAAGGCTTCCCATAGCAACCTGGCACGCTCCACCCAACGCTTTTTCCTGCCAGTGCCAACTCCTGCGCCTTAATGAGCTTAACGAGGCCGTGCTTCGTTATGGCTTAACGAAAGGGCTGCTCTCTCCCGGGCTCCTGTGAGATAACAGAGCCCTGAATCTCAAGGAAGCCGAACGCTGCAGCAAAGTGAGTGCATTTCCTCTGCTTTTGGGTGCAGGGCTGCTTGGCGCTGCTGATTTCTTGCAGTAGCAGAAGAATCTTCTTTTGCTCTGCAGGCAAATAGCTTTGTTGCTTGGTTTGAATTGCAAAGCTTCGGTTTTGCAGCAAAGCAGAGCTTGGGGGAGGCATTAGGACCCCTGAGGCACGCAGATACAGCCAGGAAGAGGAGGGTTCTCAGCCTGGGAGGGGAAAATGAGGATTTCAGGCTAATCCCAACCATGCATCCGCTTTCCGCTTGCGGAGCGGAAGCAAAGCCCTAAAAGAGCAGAGCAGGATGGAGGCGCGGGGCTGCTGAAAGCAAAGCAAAGGGGGGGGGAACCCACGAGCGTGCTGGACTGAGGTAGGAACTCCCAGCAGCAGCTGAGATCGTTTGCCGTTGCAAAGACAAAATCTGCCGTGCAGCTGTAATGGCAAAGCTGCGGTTTGTGCAAGCGCGGATTTGCAGCAGGGCAGCTGCTTTTGCAATGGCACAAAGCAACTGTTGCACAGAGGGATGCGGAGTTTGCAGCCAGAGGAGCAAAGCAGCAAAGTTGAGCCTATGCCCTGAGCCTCGTCCCCTCCTGTAGGTTCCATCCCCGAGGCCATGGCCTCGCTGCTGTCCCTCCAGGAGGAGAACCGCATCCTGCAGCAGGAGCTGTCGCGCGTTGAGGACCTGCTGGCTCAGAGCCGAGCTGAGCGCGACGAGTTGGCCATCAAATACAACGCCATCAGTGAGCGGGTAGGTCAGCCACGCACACAGCCCAAAATATGTCTTTTTCACCCTCAAAATGCACCTTTCCTTACCAGCATCACTCGGAGGTGCTGAGGACGCTGCGGTGATGGAGATCCAGCACCCGGCATGCTGGGGCTTGCAGGAAGCACAAAGCATTCCCATTTTATTCATCTCAATGCTTTTTCTTTTTGCAAATGTGGCACTGGGAGAAGAATGAGGGCTTTGGTTGCTCAGGGAGATGCAAAACTCGAGCTGCACCACTCTGGGGTCTGTATGGCTCCGGGGGCTCACACCCCTTTGTGCACGCCTGGTTGCTAAAAGGAGTGAGCCAAGAACCAAAAAGTACCCGCAGGGAAATCACTGCTTCCTGTCCCTCGTGCTGAAAGACTGTTTATCCATTGGCCAACCTGATGCAAACCCAGGTCTGGGTTATTTCCTCCATGCAGCAGCCAATTCCTTATTAGTTTTACGTTGCCATTTCCTATTGCATCTCAAGTGCAAAACATCAGGGCGCCCCTGTGTTGCTTCAACCCTATGGAGCTTTGCAGCATCAAAGGGAAGATGAATTTATCCAAGCTGGGATGCTTGCACCTGGAATGGTTCTGGAGGGGTTGCATCCTCAAAGGGGTGCTGCTGGCTTGCAGCTGGAGCAATCCCTGCGGCTGGAAGCGGGCGAGCAGGAGGTGGCGGAGAGCCGGAGCCTGGCACAGCACAACATCGAGCTGCGGAGGCTGCTGGATGAGGAGCAGGCTGCCTACAAGCGCAAGCTGCAGGCGTACCAGGAGGGCCAGCAGAGGCAAGCACAGCTGGTGCAGAAGCTGCAAGCCAAGGTGGGTGCATACTGGGGACACGGGAACGCTGTGATGGGGAGAGACTGGATGCCATCGCGTTGTCCCCAGGTGCTGCAGTACAAGAAGAAATGTGGCGAGGTGGAGCAGCAGCTGCTGAGGAAGGAGACAGAACTGGAGCAAGAGAGGCTGACAGTGTGTAATGTCCCCAGTGTGTCCCCAAATGTCCCCCACCGTCACCTGCATGCAAAGGGAACGATGTCTCCGCAGAGCCAGCCAGAGGAGGAGAGCCCCAACGAGCTGGAGAACGCGCTGATCCGGCTGGAGGAGGAACAGCAAAGGTGTGAGGGGTTCCCAAGTGGGGCTGGTGGCTGTGGGGACCTCCTAGCATCATCCCCAGCCCTGTGTTGCCCAGGAGCTGCAGCCTGGTGCAGGTGAACTCGATGCTGCGGGAGCAGCTGGAGCAGGCAAACGTGGCCAACGCGGCACTGAGCGAGGACATCCGCAAGCTGACAGCCGACTGGGCACGGGCACGTGGAGAGCTGGAGCAGCGTGAGGCCCAGTGGAGGAGGGAGGAGGAGGTCAGGGCCGAGGGGAGATGCAAAGCAGAGGGGTGCTGCGTGGGGGCCTGAGGGATGCAAAGGTTGCCGGATCATTGGGATTTTGCATGGAGATAAATTTGGGGGGGCACAGGGCGTTGCACAAAGAGGCCAAGCAGAGGGGTGCCGGGATGCAGCGAGGTGAAGGGATGCAAAGTGCAGGACCATTGGGATGTTGGATGGAGAAGAATTGGTGGATGCATGGGATGTTGCATGCAGAGGGTGCTGCATGGAGAAGGAACATTGCGTGGATAATTATGAGGGTGCAGCAGGTGGTGTATGGGGAGATTTGAAGCAGAGGAGTGGAGGGGTGCTGCAGGATGAAGGGTTGTGAGATGCAGAGATGTGGGACCCTTGGTACTTGCATGGAGAGGAATTAGGGGTTGCAGGGAGTGCTGCACAGATGCAAAGCAGAGGGGTGCTGCATGGGGAGGGGTGTAGGACATTGCATGGAGAGGAATTTGGGCATTCAGAGGATGTTGCATGGAGAGATGCAAAGCAGGGAGACAGAGGGAGTGCAGAACCACAGGGTCATTGCACAGAGAAGAATTTGTGGTGCGGGGGGGGGATGCAGGGTGAAGCAACGCTGCATGCAAAGGAATGCAGGGCGTAAGGACATGTTGCACGGAGGCACTTTTGGGGCTGCACAGGATGGTGCATGGGGCAGGACCTGGTGCTGTGGTGATAGCACTGGGCTGCAAAGCTGCGTGACCAGGATCTGCTCCATCCATCCCCATCCCCTCACAGTCCTTCAACACCTACTTCAGCAACGAGCACGGCCGCCTGCTCACCCTCTGGAGGCAGGCAGTGGCCTTCCGCCGCCACTTTGGCCAGCTGCGAGCTGCCACTGAGAGGTCAGCGGGGCGGCGAGGAACGGGGATGGGGTGGCAAGATATGGGCTCACCCTTCTGTTATCCCCCATTCCCTTTGCAGAGATCTGGTGGAGCTGGGGCAGGAGGTGAGCTGTGCCGGCCGTGCTGCCCACGCCGCCTGCGTGCAGCTGGGAGCTCACCTGCAGCTGGCCGAGGGCCGGGCGGGTGCAGTGCAAGAGCAGCAGGCACAGCAGCTGGCACAGCTGGAGGAGCAGCTGGCAGCACGGGGCCGCGATGCTGAGCGGGAGAGGGCGGTGCTGGGGGACAGGTGGGGTGCTGGGGGATCCTGTAGGGTGTTACTGGGTGCTACGGGGTGCCGCCGGGTGCTTTGGGGAGCTGTGGGATACTTCAGGCTGCCGTGGGGTGCTACAGGGTGCTGAGGGATGCGGTGGTGTTCTGTGGGTCGGTGCAGGGTGTTAAAGGATGCTACGCTGTGTTATGGGGTGCTGTGGGATACTATAGCTTGCTACAGGATGCTGTAGGGGTGACAGGGCGCTGTGGTATGCTATGGGGTGGCACAGGAGCTACGGTGCTGCACAGTGCCATGCAACATAGCGTGGTTCTACGTGGTGCTGAGCACCAGCCCTGCTGGGCACCATCTCACCCAGGCTGGCGGAGCTGACAGCAGCCCTGCAGCAGCTACGGAAGGAAGGTGGTGAGAAGGAGCGGGCAGTGCAGGCTCTGACAGCACAGCTGCAGAAGATGGTGAGCTTGGATCGTTGTGTGAGATGCACACTGCACACCAAGGCAGGTCGCAGTGTGTGATGCACACCGGGGCGTTTTGCAGGAGGCCTCTCGTGCTCAGGAGCCGTCAGCAGAGGAGGTGCAGGCATTGCGTGCAGAGCTGGAGCTGCTGCACCAGACGCTGCAGGACATCACCCAGGTGCTCCCACTCTGCACTCCCAGCGCTACCGACCCCTCCGTGCCTCAGTTTCCCCTCCTGCAGCAATGACGCTGTCCCTGTCCCTTGCAGGCAGTGCTGGCTGATGACCATGGATCCTCCACAGGGCCCCCCAGGCTCCCTTGCCGCAGTCTCTCTCCTGCTGCTGCCGCAGCCACGCTGGGAGCTGTGCATGGTGCCCTGCGCCGGCGGCACATCCAGCTGCAGGTGGGTGAGGGAGGGGGAACGATGGCAGA